ATTTCATTTTAAAATAACAATAATGAACCCATTTAATATTAACAAAAGTAACATATTTTTATGAAAACTATATTTTCCCAAAAATCATTAGAAAGAAAACAGGCATTGTTTTACAGTTTTGAAAACCCCTTTAATGTTTAGTTTTCTGGAAAGACAGTTGGATTTTCATATATGTATCTGTATTCAACCTGCTGTGATAATGTTGTTTGGGTTGAAGTTTATGAACAAAATGATGTTTTAAATATAAATAGCTGGAAAAGGGAAACCTAGGAAACTCTCTAATAGAGTCTCAAGACCCCCCAGAGTTCCTGAACGACCCTTTGAGAACTGCTGGCACATATCTTTAATTTTTTAGGTTATTAAATAAAATAATTTGTGCAATATATATTATTATTAATGCTGGTTTAGTGGTTGCTATTATTTATAATTTCCAGATATTCTCAAAAAAACTTAAGTTTCTTCTTTGTTGACTACATTCATGGTTTCGAAAAACAAAAAAAACCCCCAAAAACTAACAGTGGTAGAGATTTGGTAAAGTGATTAAGCTATTTTATCAAATAATATTTGTATTATAGGATTTTTAACTAAATTGAGATAATACATTTTACATCTGTAATGTCATTAANTTTTCTCTTGCCTGATTGCTCTTGCTAGGACTTCCAGTACTGTGTTGAACAGCCCTGTCATGTTCATGAACATAGAGCAAAGGCCTTCAGCTTTTCACCATTTATTATGATATTAGCTGAGGGGTTTTCATATATGGCCTTTCTTATATTCAGGTATTTTCATTCTATACCCATTTTATTAAGTGTTTTAATTATAAATGGGTGTTGTGTCTTGTCAAACACTTTTTCTACATCTATTGATATAATCATATGATTGTTGTCCTTTATTTTGTTTATGTGGTGTATCACATTGATCAATTTGTGCATGTTGAACTATCCTGGTGCCCCTGGGATGAACCCCACTTGGTCGTGATGTATAATCTTCTTCATGCACTGTTGCATTGGATTTGCTAGAATTTTGTTTAGGATATTAGCATCTGTATTCATCAGAGATATTGGTCTGTAATTTTGTGGGGGTTTTTTTGTGTTACTCTTAACAGGTTTTTGTATTGGGGTCATGTTGGCCTCATAAAATGACTTAGGTTGTATTGTCTCTTCAATTTTTTGGTAGAGTTTGAGTAGGACAGTTATTAAATCCTCTTTGAATGTTTGGTAAAATTCACTAGTGAAGCCATCTGGTTCCGGACTTCTGCTTTTGGAAAGGTTTTGGATGACTGATTCAATTTCCTTACTGTTGATCAGTCTATTTAGGTTTTCCAATTCTTCGTGATTCAGCCTAGAAAGGCAGTTTCTAAGAACATGTCCCTTTTTCTAGTTTATTGAATTTGGTGGCAAAGAATCCTTCATAATATTCTTGGATGATCATTTGTATTTCTGTGGCACCCAGGGAAAATTTGCCTCTTTTTTTTCCGACTTTGTTTATGTGTGTCTTTTCCCTTTTTACCTTAATGAGTCTAGCCAAGTGTTTGTCAATTTTATTAATCTTTTTAAAGAACTAGCTCTTTGTTGCATTACTTTTTTCTATTGACTTTTTGTTTTCTATTTCATTTAGTTCTGCTCTGAATTGTATTATTTCCTTCCTTCTGCTGACTTTGGGTTTCAATTTGTTCTTCTTTTTCTATTTCTTTAAGGTATAACATGAGGTTATTTATATGGTACTTTTCTTGTTTCTTGAGATAGGCTTGTAATGATATAAATTTTCCTCTTAAAACTGCTTTTGCTGCGTCCCAAAAATTTTGGTAGGATGTATTTTCATTCTTATTTGTTTCTATGTGTATTTTGATCTCTCCCCTTATTTCTTATTTGACTCAGTTGTTCTTTAAAAGTATGTTGTTTAATCTCCACATGTTTGTGGTTTTTCCTGCTTTTTTTTTTGCAGTTGATATCCAATTTCAAAGCCTTGTGATCAGAGAATATGCTTGGTATGATTTCAGTCTTCTTCAGTTTGCTGAGGCTTGTTTTATGTCCCAAGATATGGTCTATCCTTGAGAATGTTCCATGTATAGTAGAAAAGAATGTATAGTCTGATGTTCTAGGATGAAGTGTTCTATAAATGTCAATTATGTCCCTTTCATCTAACCTGTCATTTAGGGCTGCTATTTCATTATTTATATTCTGTTTGGATGATCTATCCATAACTGTCTATGATATAGTTAGGTCCCCTACTAAAATTGTGTTTTGGTCAATTTCTCCTTTTAGTTTTCTTAGGAGTTACTTTGTATATTTTGGTGCTCCCCAACTAGGGGCATAAACATTGATAACTGTTATGTCTTATTGTTGTTTAGTCTGCTTTATGATTATAAAATGTCTATCTTTGTCTCTTGTTACCTGTTGTATCCTGAAGTCTGCTTCATCTCATATCAGTATGGCTATACCTGCTTTTCTCTTAGTACTATTTGCATGGAGTGCCATGAGCCACTTTTAGTTAGGGATTTTTATGTTCAGACCATCCTATAAAATCGGACAATTAAGTTNTCTTTCAGGCAAACTTGATCTACACTCTTCCTAGAGATTCCTTTGTATCTATGATTTTTGGACCAAATGTCCTAAGGATACAAGCTGGCAGCATTTTTTTTTTTTTTTTTTAGTTTCAGGTGTACAAAGCAACATAATAGTCAGACGTTTACACCCCTCACAAAGTGATAATCCCCCTTCCCCAAGCTACTACCTTTCTGACATCTTATATAGCTATTACAATACCATTGACTATCTTTCTCATGCTATACTCCACCTCCCATGACTATATATATATATATATATATATATATACTTATATTTGATATACAATATTATTCTACTTCAGCTTCAGTTGTATAGCCCATTGGTCACGCATCTCCACAGCTTATGAAGTGATACCCTTGATAAGTTCAGATCCCATCTGGCACCTTAGATAATCTTTACCACATCATTGATTATATTCTTACCTGCCCATTTTTGTGTAATTTTTAAAAATTATTTTTAAATTTCTGTTTCAATTACAGTTGACATTCAATATTATTTTATATTAGTTTCAGGTATACAGCACAATGGCTCTTTTATAACTCTTAAGAAATTTAACCTGTGTAGTTCCCTTTTTATTTTAATTTATTGGGGGTGACAAGGGTTAGTATAATTACATAGATTTCCAGGGTACATTTCTATAATACATTATCTATGTATCACATTGTGTGCTCACCACTCAGAGTCAGTTGTCCTTCTGTTGTACTCTGTATTTCCAAATGCCTGTTGAAATTCCTCCAAGCATTTCAGCAAACTTGGTAAAAATTACTACCTTCTGATATTTGCTGCTCTTCCCCTTCAGGGTTCAAAGGTCTCCACCAGGATCCTGCACTGATTACCTAAGGATACTTTCTGTTTGTGTGTGTCCTAGTTTGCATAGCCTTTCTTACATTCTTGAATGGCATGCTTAAGTTTGGAGTTGTAGGGATGCACCAATACCCCAAGGAGTCTTGTCACACCTATTGCTGCTTCTCATACCATCGCTTGGTCTGTTTTTCTGGGAAAGGCCAGTCATTTTAGAAATTTAGTGTCTAAGGAAAAAAGCTTAAATATCACTTTCCAAACACTCTATTCATTGTGTCTTCCCAGAGATTAAATACCAATCAACATCATCAGTGAATTCTCGTAAAAAATATTGACCAGTTTTTCCCTCTTGATCATCCAGTCACTCTATACCTGATGAAGGGTTGCTAAAAACAACCTGTAGGGACTTTCATTTTCATATTTGTCACAGTTCCCTGTGTGTTCTCTAAAGCCATCAATGATCCACGAGAGTGTACTTCTCTCTCCTCTTCCAGTTCTTAGTGTAGATATCCATCAGCCCAAGATTCCTAATAATAGTCTCAATAGAATCTTAAAAATGCAGTCTGAATTTTCCCAGGCTTCAACTCCCTGTGGCCACAAAAGAGAATAAAGAAACATTAAAATTTGAATTTCACTTGCAAGTTATCCCTACTCATCAATGCAGGACCTTTTCCAGATCTAACTTAGTGTTTTCTGAAACTTTCCCGGTTTCTTACTTATGCTTGGGCACAAGATGACCTGCTCCCACCTCCTTGTTGATATTTTCTGTCTGTGAACCTATTAATGGAGGTGCTTGCCTAGAGTACTATCTCTCAGTATTCTTAAAAAACAAAATTGCTCAAATTTTGACACAGAAATAAAAGGACTACATTTCTCCCAACTGTGCGTTTCACTCTGTCTCTTGAATTTGAAAAGATGTTGCTTATTCCCACCCAGAGTCTCACAAAAGCTCTTGCTAAAAAGAGAGTCCTTTCAGTTTCTGCTTATAGGCTATTTCTACAAAGTGGTCATATCTAGTCCCTGTAGCAAGCACATTTGGGGGCTATATTGTCCTCTCCATCTCCAGTAACTCCAGAGCTCCTAGGCCCTGTCTCCAAAGGGCTCACATATAAATTTCCTCTCGTTAGCCCCTTTCCTTGGGAAATTGGAGAGTGGAAATAGATGTTGTCAGCTAAAAACTCATCTCAAATGCAGCCCAGCCAATTCCAATATGCTATTATTATTCTTATAGGTGGTATATACATCATTTTCAATGCATTTGGAAGATCATATGCTAAAAAATAAACAATTGAATTTATTCTCATTGAGTACAGATGTAAATGTGTTCATTCATTCAAGGAACATTTATTGAGTGTCTTCTATAAGCCAGGAAGTAAAACAAAAGACACAATGCACCCTTATACACACCTCATCTATAATAGTTTATCTCAATAATGCTAATGCCATGCTTTCTACTAAAATTTGGGGAGAAGGGATTCCTAACATGAAAAAAAGCTGTCATTTTCTGATATCATACTGCTACTCTATCATGTTTATGCTGTGAATAGCTTTTAACAAATATCAGCTGTAAATTTTCTTCAGCAAAATGCAATTGAATATATGCCATTGCACAAACCTGTTCAATACTTGGCAATGTGCTGTAACAATGTTCTACCTTCTTTTCTTGTTCCTTCAGGTGTATCAGTTCCTATCCCAGTGATTGGACTGAGAGATGAAGACAAAGTGTTCGTCAACAACACCACCTGCGTGCTGAATGACCCAAATTTTGTTCTTATTGGGTCCTTCGTAGCTTTCTTCATACCGCTGACAATCATGGTGATTACGTACTGCCTGACAATTCACGTTCTTCGCAGACAAGCTTTGATGTTACTGCGTGGCCACACTGAGGAATCGTCCAGAGTAAGCCTGGATTTTCTGAAATGCTGCAAGAAGAATACCACTAATGAAGAGAACTCTGCAAACCCTAACCCAAATTTGAACCTGCGCCGAAGAAAGAAGAAAGAAAAGCGTCCAAGGGGCACTATGCAAGCTATCAACAATGAACGGAAAGCATCGAAAGTCCTTGGCATTGTTTTCTTTGTGTTTTTGATTATGTGGTGCCCATTTTTTATTACCAATATACTGTCGGTTCTTTGTGGGAAGGCCTGTAATCAAAAGCTCATGGAAAAGCTTCTGAATGTGTTTGTCTGGATTGGCTATGTTTGTTCAGGAATTAATCCTCTGGTGTACACACTTTTCAACAAAGTTTATCGAAGGGCTTTCTCCAACTATTTGCGCTGCAATTATAAGGCAGAAAAAAAGCCTCCTGTCAGGCAAATCCCGAGAGTTGCTGCCACTTCTTTGTCCGGAAGGGAGCTCAATGTTAACATTTACCGGCATACCAGTGAACCAGTGATCAAGAAAGCTAACGACAGTGAGCCCGGGATAGAGATGCAAGTTGAGAATTTGGAGCTACCAGTTAATCTCTCCAATGTGGTTAGTGAAAGGATTAGTAGTGTGTAATAAAGAGCAGCACAGTCTTTTCCTACAGTAAAGCTACAAATGTAGGAAAATGTTCTATAATTCTTCTGTCTGTCGTAACTAATGTAAGTATTGCTGTCTGAAAAAAAGTGTTTTTATATATAGCTTTGCAACCCTGTACTTTACCATCATGTCTACAATAGTAAGATTTAGGGTTCTATATTTACTGCTTATAATAGATTGAGAATAACTTACTTTGATTCTTTGATGCATAAGAGGTTGATTTTTTTTCTTTCTCTTCCTTTCTTCCCCCTTTTCCTCNTAATATGCATGGTTCAGTGCCTGGCACATAAGATAGACTCAATAAAAGGCAGCTTTAGAGTTACTATTTACTCAACATACAAAAAACTATACGAGTAGATGCCAGGAATAAAATTGGCCCCCACATATCCAATAACAGCTTCAGGTAACCTGGAATCACTCTGCTATTTTTTGTTGTTGTCCCTTGACAAAACCTACTTTTAGGCCCAAGAATCCCTTAGGAAGGTGAATAAATCTTTTAACAGAGGCAAGCTAACATCACTCCAGAACTGTGCTCTGAGTAATGTTGACTTCCACCCAACTTCCGGTCAGTGTGTGAGGCCTTCTCCAGAGATTTCAGGTGTCTCTAGGAATACCTAGAAGTTTGTGTAGCATTTCCTGTGGAGAATTAAGTTTCCACTCCAGCACTTCTTTCCTGAGTGTAGGTATTTCTACCCCCGTCATGATTCCTTCAGAGTGAATGCAAATTCCCCAGACTCTGGTTCTCACATTGCTGAGGGGTGGTGCAGGAGGACGTTAGAAAAGGAGCAGTTCCCCTACACCCCTCCTCTGGTTTTCTTATAGGATTCTGAGAAAGCATAACAGTTTTCTACCAACATTTTGTCACAAAATGACCTTCTTCCCTACAACTATATCAAAGTGGTGTTTCCATTTAGGAGTCTAAGTGTTTTGTTCTGGAAGTAATCACTTCCAAGATTAGCAGTGGTCACTAACTCTTGGAGCACTTTATGATCTGAGGCTGAATAGGGATTTAATTACCTGTTTCAGGAAGGACCTTTATGTTTTCTTCCTCCTTTTTCAATTTTTAAAATATTAAACTTTTGCTATGTAGACTTTCAAAGATTACAAAAGTAGATAGAATTATATAGTAAGACCCATGTACTCATCATCCAGCTCGAAAATTTATCAATTTATGGACTGTCTTGTTTCATCCATACTTCCTTCCACTTCTCTCCNGCTTCTCTTCCCAACTCTCCATCATATTTTATCACCTGAGAACTGAGAAGCTTGTATTTGTTTTTTTCTTCTATGTTTTTCTCTGAAAGTAGTTCTTTCATTTTTTTGTTGTCAACTTCCATTTTCAAGGAACTCATTTTATGACTCCATCAGGCAAGAGACCACTCACGACAGCTTGACATTGTATGGGCCTCTTAGGTGTCCTTGAAAAACTTTTTCATGAAAATAGATGCCTCTAAGATAGTTCTGCAGTTTATTAATAATTCTCCTGGTGTATATTTTCATTTTGATGTTGGCTGATCTGTTTCAGGAAATTTATTCTCTGTAATCTCTCTCTCCTCTCATATCATCATTAACAAATCTCTTGGCAATCTGTTTTCTGTATTCACTACTCCACTATAATTTTTTTCTCTATAGTCACCAACGACCTCCACTTTTTCAAAGGCAGAGGAAATGTTTCAAATTCTAGACCTCTCTGTGGCATTTGATTCTGTTGAGGATGGCTTCTTTAAAGCATTTCCTCCTTTGCCTGTCATGACATAATTATTTGTTCACAGTGAATTATTACCATGCTGTTGATACCCATTTTGCAAATGTTACTGTTGATAATTTTGACATCTTACCAGAAGATGTCAAAAGAAGCTTTTCAGATCAGTTTCACACATGTCCTGACAATGTCAAGTATGTAACAGTTGATGTCTGGCCAATAGTGATTATAGGACACTATCAGTTGTAAGTGTTGATGAAAAAACATCCAGCCTAAAGGAAAGCTTATAAGAGTTTATTTGAGCCAAACTGATGACAATTGTCCGGAAACAAAATCTTAATGGATTGAGAAAACGCTCTGCAAAATGATGGTTTGCAGCTTATTTTATACATAGAATCAAAGGAGGAAGGTTACATGAAATCCATTGGTGGTAGATTCAGAGGGTGAGAAAATGCAAAGCAGGAAAATATCTGGGATTGGATAAAAATAAATTGGAGAGAAAGGTACTTCTTTCACATACATGGGTACAGGCTAGTTAATAGTGCAATTTTTAAAGCACATAAAGATGGTAATCAGGGGACAAGAATATTAATGAAGGATTCTATAGTTTTCTGTTCTGGTCTGGAAAAAGGGATTACTGGCATTCCAACGGCATGTTATCTTAGGTGCAAAAAGACAATAGACAGGCTTACTTAAGGTAGAGATTAACCTTTATCAAGGAAGCTACAGACTAAAGATGTGACTTCCTGCCATGGCCCACCTTAGTTAGGAATTTTTATGTTCACACGATCCTATTACTTATTTTCAGTATCCTGAGTTTCTCAGGTTTAACATGTGGTCCCTTTCCATCCATGTAAGATACCCCACACTTTTGAAGATGTTAAAATCTAAAAGAAAT